GGGGGGGGGGGGGGGGGGGGGGGGGGGGGGGGGGGGGGGGGGGGGGGGGGGGGGGGGGGGGGGGCGCAAAGCAAGTATGTGAGCCACTGGTGCTCTCGAAATTCGTCGGGATTCGAACTCGCGGGATTGAGGCCAAACGTCTGTCCAGTTCTGTATAAAACAAACACATTATTCACATAGTAATTTTTCCGTATCTTGAGGATTCAAATTCTATCGTTCGTAGTCTGTGCAGAAAGAGAAACGGCGTGGCTGTTACGCAAACTATTATAATTATATATATATATACTTATATAATTATTACTTTCGCGGCATTTCATGTTATCACAAAACTATCCTTGTTTTTTTCATAGTATGTAACTGTCAAACTGTAATGCCGTAAGTTGTCAACGGCACAAAAGGTGTAGACCTCAAGTCCCAAAACGGTATTCTTTCCGACTAACTATCAACTAACTATATTTTTAAGACTTGCAAGTGACGTGTTTAGACTTTTAAAATTATTCTTTAGACTAAAGCACGTCCTTAAATAGATGTTCCGTAACCTGCCGAGGACAGACTCCTCATCAGCGGTGAGTGATGTGGAACAACTGTTTAGTTTGACAATGGACAAGGAGAGATTTCGGCCGACCTTCAGTCATAGTCATGAGCTAAAATATTCTTTTGTAGCTTTCTTTTGAATGTCCTTTTCTTTTCTACTTTTTCAAACGATGCAATTATACTCATTGTTTTTATGAATAAATGGGGGGGTATAAATATAAAGTAAAATTATGTGTTTACCCAGATATTTATTAGTCGTTATAGTTCTATAGTTTTTTTTATATTTAAATTTATAATAAGCTAGGAGAATAATCATAATCTGTTGTGAAGCAATAATATCAAATACAACTTATCAATAAAGTTTGTAGAGACTTAAAGACACGACGCGTCGTCTGTAGCAACTGTGGATCATATGAACCGTGTTTTTTTGGAGTAACAATATCAGTGTATTATTGTAGTGTTTAGAGAATAATAATATAAATGAAAAGTCAGCAATAAAAAATATTTTGTAAGAATTAGTAATGGTGATGCGTTTGATAGCAAATCTCAGCACATTGCCGCGCATGCACTAAAGCGGGCTCTGACACAGATTAGAATATGATGCCATTGAGATGGCGCGCTCCTACGCGTTTCACATAGCAGTAATATATGGAACCTCCTTCATGGTTTTACCTTCTTAGATTGGGATTAGAAAAAAAAGTATTTTTTTTTAAATTAAGAATTGCGTTTATAAAATATGTTTTGATTCGAATTTTACGATAGGTAGATATTAATAATATCTATAGACAATAGACACACAACGCGTAGCCTCTGAACTGCAGAAGCCAAAGGCATTTTATAATTTTTCATAGTAAAGATGTAAGTACTTAAATAAAATTTTATTTAAATTATAACTTTACTCCTATAACAAAACTTAACAAGTTTTTGTGTTACCAGTATAAAAATTGTTAATATAACCAATTACCATTAAAAATGGTATTGTGTTTATTATAGCATTTTTCCGTATTTCATAAAAACACGCTACAATAAAATAATCTAAAATATCTACCGGGCAAAATAAATTGATACGACTGAATACGAAATAACATTTTTGTGAAAAATTAAACATATACACGAAACGACAATGCAATTAACACACACAAAGCATATTCATAGTGTGCACAAACCACGCCTCAAATAAAAATTGACCAATCATGATTCACCATAGCCATAGATCGTTATGCCAGCACGCCTCGAGTTTTTCGTCACGGAATACCAACTCAGGCGCTACACACACATTGTCAAACACAGCCTCGCGCCACAGACACTGTTCAGATCTGACTGTCTCGCTCTAACGCATCCTCATACCCACCGCTGTCATTCCCATAAAATCACCAAAAACCAAGCGACAGACAAATTTCCATCCAAATTAAACATTTATTCTTGCAGTGATTTAGTATCCTACAATACGACTGACGAAGATACGAAAATTTAACGGCGATATCGCTGGTGCGTTTAAAGTAAGAAAGGGACAGAAGATTAGTGAAGCTTGCGGAGGCGGCCGCGCCGACCATTTTTTGTTGCATTGTGAAAGATTACACTTGAGTCGAAATACATCTTTACATCACACGTCAGTGGCCACTGAGCTGTCTTCAAAGTAACACGGATTAGATACACGCACTTTGTAAGAATGTCCGCGTGTTGATAGTGACAGACTGTTGTGATTAGGACTGTGATTGAACAATTGTTAGTTTCTTCGATGGCAGTATCTACTTTGAACATGACGCCGTACTTCACCGGATACTCTTTCCAAGGTATGTGCCTGCGCAATTACGCTACAGGATTTTTGACAAACTTGACATATTACACTTTTAAAGTTGTCTGTATCACTGTGTTAGGTTTTTATCTATCACTGTGACTAGATCCTTAAAGTGTTAAGGGTCGCGAAATCTTAATAAATCTAACAACACACAATTGTATGCAGTTTAGTATTTATCATGCGCAGAATCAGATCTAAAAGTCTTCAATGTGTCTATTCAGACGGGAATTAATTAAAATCTCTTCAATGTATGTAAGATCGACATAATACTATATCTGATTGATGGAATGTTAATTCATATTGAAGAACTAATTGTCTTTAAACCGCAAAAGACCGGCAATCAAGATATAAAAAACTGATTGCTGAGAATTACTACAATTAAAAACCTAATGGAGTCCTTCTCGAAACGTCGTAAAACTATAAAATTATGACTATAGAAAAACTTTACTACGTCATATAACAATATTTCATCGACTAACGAAAACATCTTGGAACATTGTATAATGGCCAATGCTAGAAAGTGGTTTCAAAGTATTTGTCACATTGTTTCGGCAAAACTGTATAATGTAGTGAAACAAAATCTGTCAAAAGTATACCGAGCGTTTAGGCGCGAAAACACCTAGATGTCTTTCCTCTATGGTTTGTATATTCTGTCTTAGATGAAAAAATGTTTATTATTATTATAATCTAAGTTATTCATGACATTTAACAGGTATAAATTTGTATAACAGATACGTCCGTAGTTCTCTCTGTATTTCTCTCTCTCTACATTTTAGTGTTCGTGAATATTTTCATTGGTTTTTGCAAAAACAACAGATTTCTGGCAACGAAGCCGTATCGCCTATAATTGTTTTAATTAATGAAAATAATAAAGCAAATGAGAAATTATTAGTATTACTGATATTTTTTGACATAGCCATTGTTTGGGTAAAAATTATTGACATCATAAAACAGCTTTTGTTTTACGGACTTCTTACCTTTGGTTTATTACGGGCGACACTTTTTTGAACAACAGTACCCTACGAACAATACAAATTGAACAGTAGATAGAAAAGAAATTATTTTGTGTGGAAAATATGGAGACGCATCCGGCCGTAGAACAAAACGGAAGCATGCACCGAATAGAATTCGTATAGTAAACTTGTATCTATGGAAAAACTAATACGAAACAATAGTAAAGTATTGTGTTATTAATTAATGGCTCAAAGTTGTATACATATTAAGTTTTATCTTAATACTTATACATTTGGGTTGCCATTATTACTATAAAACACAGGTTTCATTCCTAGCAAGTGCCTCATGTGCTTGTGTTACGGTCACACATTTAATACAGATGGGATTGAAAACATAAATTATAAAATAATTCAGCCTCACATCGTGTTTATAATTCAATTCGCTTATATATTAAACATAATTAATTCTTTCAGCGTAATTAAATTTAAAATTCCTTTTTTGAATTTCTTCCAAATTCAAATTTAACCCTAAATTGAATTAATATATGCCTGTTTCAGCCGCCAAAGCTTTCAAATTCTCTGCTCCAAAAACCCGACAGCTTTACCCATAAATCATTACCATACGAAAACATTTCGAATGCATTGTTAAAAATGTCACTTCGACTTATGAACTGTTTCGTCTAAACTAAATTAAAATGAAAGGGATCGAAATATAAAAAGGGTTGTGGTGAAAAGAGACGGTATGATAAAGGATGCCGCCTGTACGTTTCGTACGATACAGTGTCGTGCTCTTTAAGAACTTTGGTTATTATCGTTGTACGTATTGATAATACGATATTAATGATAACAGGTCAATATTACACCCCCACAACTGTTTTATATGTAATTCGCATTAGTAAAATTTGTTCTCACGTTAAATATAAACTGAAAAACTTCTTTCTCCAAGCATCGAACTGCCTTTACCTGTAAATAATAAGAAAACAAAAATATTGTCGGCTTAAAGTATTCCTTAATATCATCATAGAATATCCCACGATGTGTTTGAATAATATATTTTAAAGATATCGTAATAATTGACCATTCGGGGCCGTCGTAGTCGAGATGAATTTAAATTTGCGCCTATTTTCCGACGGCTCTCAAATATCTATTTTCGAAAAATATTCTAATTCTTAGTCAATACTCAAGGACTTTGAAACTACATGAGTCATCAAAGGCACCGCGCTGTATTGAGCTCTTTCGATTAAATAAATCCTGTAGTCGACAACAAATTATATAACTTCGAATAAATCGGTATTAACGTCGTAAGCTGATGTAAAGTCCGACGTTAAAAATGCCTGCATGAGATTATTTCTGCACGTTTTATTTATACTAACAGTTAATTGTAATATGAAAATTGTTTAAATTTAAATTAAAATATAATATTTTTGCTCAAACACCATAATTCATTTATGAATATAATTCGGGGTACTACGCAATATTTACCTATGGTTTATAGAGAATTTGACAATATTAAAAAAAAACCTGTATTCGAGTATTACATAATCAGAATTACATTAGGCCTCCTCCAAATTCTTCCACTTGTCTCTGACCACCATTGTTCCTTTTATTCCATCTTCCCTGGTTCCTGGTCTCATTTTTCATAGTGAAATAGACAATACATAAACTATAGTAATGCGTATGTGTCATTAAAGAGAATGTGTTTATTTTATAATTATTGAATGTCAAAAGATAATAGCATTACATACATTTCTGTGTCGGTTTGATGATTTTTTTCTTATAGAAAAAGGGAATCAGGTAAAGGTCCCAAAAAAACTGACTTACGCAGTTGATTTTTGGGACTAAGATTCGTTACGGTTTTGCGTTAATTGCGCGAATCAAGAAAAGTCCAATTTATTTTTCTATATAATATTTAACTTTGTGAGTTTCAAACTGAGATTCTCTCTTCTTTGATTTATAATATTGAAGATGAAAATTTAATTTAAAACAAAATATTCACATTCGCCCGCGGGTAGGTGACGGACGATGAAGCGAGATATCGATCAGCAAACCGCACCTTGTAATTTGTCGATGCGATTTCTCTACAACTCCATAATTTCCTCTAAAGGATCACTCGATTATTCGATAAAGAATGTCATATACGAATAGATCGACGACTCTAGGTTTGAGTGAAGTAACTTTTTAAAAAACAACATTTGTTTTTTAATTGTTAATATTTTGTGTGCATAAATCCTTATAAATAAGTAAACATCATGTAGATATTTGGGTCTATGACACTTTACCTTCCAAACCACGAGTAGGGTTTGAATAAAAATCGAATTGAATTGCCTAATGTGACTTAGGGTCTTTCAAGAAAAGAGCGTACCAATTCTTAAACGGCTGGCAACGCACTCGCGAGCCCTCTGGCATTGGGAGTGTCCATGGGCGGCGGTATCACTTAGCATCAGATGAGCCTCCTGTCCGTTTGTTCTATGTTCTATAAAACAAATATTTTAATGATGAATATAGATAGTTAATTATTGTCAGCGTTTCCTATAATATATATTGATTAAAATTGTTTATATTTTTAAACAATAAAAAATATATTTAAGGAACAGTGCATTGTTGAACAGATTGCTGACCTCAGTGTAATCAAGATTTAGTCACATTCATATCACGGCGGACAGGCGCATGCGCACACAGGCGCGCATCAAAAGCGCCGACACGCTTTAACTTCGTAATATGACCGCGAATCACTTCGGGCCACTTGTCATTATTTTAATTAAATCTTAAAATACATAAATCAAAGAATTTTCATGCGTATTGATAGATTTGTGGAAATAGGAAAATTCTTTGTAGTCTATATATACGAGTGTTTCTTGCTCTATTTTTTTAAATTTCTTGTTGGTGTACAACAGTTAAGTCTAAAATAAAAATTATTTTATTTAATGTTTATTAATGTAGATAGATATTTAAATCCATGTCGCAATTAATCATAAAAAACAATGATTTTAATGAATTATGAATATTCTATTTATAATTCGACCAATCGGGATAAATAATTACAATTCTCAAATACCTATCAAAGATTTATTAAAACATATTTTTATTATACAGTAATTATCAAGACATAATCTATGATTTTCTCCATGAAATAAAAAAATATGTGCTCAGCAATAAGTAACCAAACATTTAATCGCATATTTCTTTAAAAAATTCAATTACATTGTCTCAAAGGTTCGGGAATTCTCGAATAAAAGGAAAAAGACATTTCTTTTGTCTAGATTATATTGCCATCTGGAATTTATTGTACAAAATGAAATTTTTGATTTACCGAAGAATCTTAGCTCATATAATAGTTTAGAAATTCACAAAATTTCAATAAATTCACTAAACTAACTATTTATATTTAAAAATCTTTGTTTTTGGCGCGAGATTTTCCATACAAAATAATTTAAAGTGTATTATACAGTAATATTTACGCTGAATTATTACACAGAAAAACGCGTATTTATTTATCGCGCGAATTAATCAATACTAATCTAGCTTCAGCCCTTATGGGTTAGATTTTTGCTTTATAGGTATGTCTTTGAAATGCCGGTTTCTTATTATCCTACACAGTATATAGGCAAGTGTCTAAAAAATGCTTTGATACAACACTTCCTAACTGGGCCTTACATTGCTCACCATTCATATTTAATATAAATTACGTCGGCTCTCAAAGATCTTTTGAAAATTGTAAGAGCCCTTTTGGTAAATACGAGTTGTGAATACCAAATGAGGTCAACACTTATTGAAATAAAATATTTCCTTTATATGCCGAAACGTCCATTCATTTGAACAGTTGTTTTCTCTTTATATAACATATGCATAGTTGTAGGGTAATTGAAACCTTGGTATATAGGGAGTATAAAATGCCAAAAAAATAATAAACCCCGCATATGTTTACAATTTAATAGGCCTATTTAGGTGTTGTACCAAATTTGTACACACAGTTTAATTTGTTTTTTCTTGTTACTCGATATCCTAACTTCCTTCAGTACTATTGATCGGAACCTCTTCGAGGATAAAAGCTTCCTTCAGGTGATTCCAATTTTTTTTTATCCTATCTTACTCCAGTCGCTTCTAAATCTTCTATCTACCTTATCTTTTGGATATTACCTTTTTATTCATCAACACCTGAGCCAGCGACTAAATCTCCAAATTGCTTATGGTACAATTTGACATAAAAGATAACTTAAAAATAGTGTAAGTAAATGTTTTAGTTTAGGAAAATACTCTAAAGAAATCCTTAACGCATGAACAATTTTTCTAGCTCAGGAGTCCCACGAGCCTTAGTATTCTAGTAGTAGATGAAAATATACACACTTAAAAACTAACAAATATTGATCGAAAGCTGCTAAAACCACACATATTTCAATCGATAATCACCTAAGTACCGCCCAAATAAGCGGGCGATACAAGTGTTATAATTATAATAGAATTGATACAATCACTACAGCCTCGGGCGAACGATGCCACGCGACTCGCGGCCACACAAATGTGCTTGAAGAAAGCTTAATGGAATGACACCGTCTTTGTGAAGCCGCCCAATTCTTATGCCTATTCAATGGCATCTTCTTTGTTGCTTGATTTTGGATAGTTTTATTCATTTTGATGTAAGATATTTGAAATTTTATAGTTATATTAAGGGTCTTCTATAAAACTGACATACGATAATAATATAATTTGTAGTGCAATATATTTCATTATGATGTATAAATACATGGCTAGTTTCAAAAATCACGGTGGCGCATAGGCTTGGATAACGATATGTTGAAGCTTTTACAGAATACGGCTTTTGATAATTTTGGAAAGAAGAGCACTACTTTTATATTTGCATTAAAAGTAGGTATTATCAAATATAAGAAATCTTCATGCTGTATCGTAGTGAAGTCGAGAATCCCTTGAATAAAAAAATGTAAGTGTTTATATGTGTGTGCATTTTTATGTGCGTCAATAAATTTTGATTGTCATTCTGTTTCAAATGATTGAAGTGTTATTTCATTTATGATTCCATGTTCACATAAATTGCTATCGCATAGCTATTTCTTAGAGAATTGATAACCTTTCAGGGAAATGGTTTAATCAGAAATTGTTTATTGAATGGAAAAATGTTCAATTTCAATTTATTTAGCTGACTCTTTGTTCTGTCTCCATATACGACAGGTACACAACATTTCTATTGTGCTGGTTCTATCTTTGCGTAAAGCATTTTAATCTAAGGCGCATTTTTATGCACCATCAAACTTTATTTATGTGATTATCGCTAGCATACAAATCATGTGGAAGAAAGCATTGTATGACGTAAGGTCTCATATAAATTTTACTATAGCACATTAATGTCGCTACGTGAAATTGATTTGCAAGCAGAAACATATTATGATTGTGAAAATGGGGTTTACGATTTATTTACACAATGCAAAATCAAATACGAACATATCACTGTACTGTTAGAAGTATAGGGAAAGGTTCGACTACTTATCCATTAGTTAGGTTGCGTATAATTCGTTCATTGCGCGGCTGCACTCAGTAACTTCTGAAGTTTTTATCAGTTAAATTGTCAATTTCTTCGAAAAGGAAATTGGCAAAATATCACGGCTCCCTACCATCTTTAATTTTGTCACCAGTTTCAAGTGTCTCTTAAAGTTACGACGGTACTTCGCAACCATTAAAAATCGGAATTGCTAGCTGATAAAGCGAAAGATGAAAATTTCTAATTAAAGTTGACACAGAAATGTGAATTTATTTATCCGGTCACGGCTTACCATACGTCTAGCGTTAAATGGCCGACTCTGTTTCAATTTCGTCTAACATGATCGCTGCGGTTGAACGAATCGAAACACAATTATGTTATTGTGAGAATTTTTTATGCGTCCTAGCGCTCAGTGTTTGACTATGTTCTGGAGGTATCGCAACTATGAATAAGTCTCGTGAGTAAACTTTTCTGGCTTCCGTATTCTATTGAAAGGTTTTTTAATAGGATCAATGATACCACCCTAGTTGTGATTGTCGGTACAAAATGGTGCATGATGCAAACTGCTTTCGGACGATTAACTTTTTGAGTGATGTTTAAATTTGTTGTTAACTTTACCTCCTTTTGCGTTAATAGTGTTATAATGTTTGCGAATTATATTACGCATTGTTGAGTTTACGTTACCATTGTAGCTTTTGTGGGTTTTTCATTGATTTGACTGATCTTATTCCAACATATTTGGTCAAAAGATATTGAATAGTTCTACTCAATGCGGTACGTGCATTACAAGGCTTTTAATAAAGCTCCTATGTGTATTCTAAAGGTTTTTGTATTTAGAATAAAGTGGATCCTACCACTGAGGGTCGATCTTTTAATAAGGTTTTTGTTAATATAAAATCTTATATCTATTATAGTCTTGATTTGATTCTTACCTTAATAAAGTGATACATTATGACTGCACCACCCACATTTGTATAGAGGGTTATTACGAAAGCGTTATGCGTCATAAATATTTCGAGAACATAAAATTAACACTCAAAAACATGGGTTTTCGAGGCACCACAACGTCTGCAGGACCTGACAAAAAAATAGGGATCGCTTGATCCCCTGCGTGAGATCCGATTTTAAAAAGTCTTTATTCTTATGATAGTAGAGTTCAGTTTAAACCAGCGGAAGTTGAGAATTTGACACCCACTTATCTGTTATTCTTTTACGATTTTTCGCCATATAAAGATTGTAATATGGATTCTTTTGCTTTGAACTCTTTCGGTTCTCGCCCTATCAAAGGACATACTTGTTGACATGTTGTTTAATTGATCGGTACTTCACCACAGGGGTCTAAGGCCCAACACGAGGCGGTTTCTTTGAGGAATTATATGAAATTGATAAACTATAAATGCCTTCACAAATGGAAGATGCCACTGTGGTGTTTTTTCTTCTGTCAAAATTAGATTAAAATTGAGATTAATCTTTGATTAGGGAAGATGAAAACTTTGCATTACGTTCGTTGAATAAGAGAAATATACAATATGTATTACAAAGCTGATGTGTTGGAATACGCTAGTCTTGGGAACTACAGGTTCGAATTAGAAACTAGTTTAGTGTTGAATCAATTTATCGACGAAGGCTGTATTCATAGATAGGCGAACGCGCGGGCACAGATAGTATATAATTTGATTAATAAGTAGGTGGTTTTGCCTTAAAATAAGTAAAATGCTAAGTAATAATGACGAAGTTTCATTATGAAATCGGTAAATCTAAGATTTCGATTTATCTTACAAAGCCGTTGCAAAAATCGACGAAAGGCGGTCTCCTTTGACAATAGGTGGTCTAACCATTTGCCGTGATGTGATTATAATAGCCACACTTCGCTCACATACCAGAAATGTTATATTTCTTTGTAGCAATCAATATCTTAATAACTTTAATTAAGGTTTTGATGACTTTCGTGATTTTTAAGCGAAAAAAACAATGTTTTTGTAACGATTGTTTGTGACCAAATGTGTTGAAAGATATCGGATACTTTTGGTTGAGGGCACATCAAATGAAACGTGAAATGACCAGTAGCGTACCTACAATCGGTCTTCTATTGAAATGTCTTCGGTATTTTTCAATACAAATACGTTGACGAATATTTATATTTTATAATCTTCATTATTTACCATTGAACTAAAATAATACAATGTGAGTTATTTAAATAATGTATCAAGAATTTAAAAGGTTATTTCTTTTTATACATTTTTTTAAATCGTTTGTGGAAAACATTTTCATTGTCTTTTATTACATTGCTTTATGTAGTAAAGATATCAGACATTATTAAATTGATTGATTATTAAATTTAAAATATATTCTGATTAATTTGATGCGGCTGGCGCGTGCTTGATTAATATCACTTTAGACAAAGTCATTGAATGAATCACGCAGCTTGAAGTCATGGTTTAAAATAACATAAATGTTTAGTTAAATCATATTAATTGTTAAAGGGCAAGGACGTATGAATCAGTTAGGAGGTGTGTTCATCAACGGGCGCCCTCTACCGAACCACATCAGACTGAAGATTGTGGAGATGGCGGCTGCGGGAGTGCGGCCTTGTGTCATCTCACGACAGCTTCGTGTCTCACATGGCTGTGTCTCCAAGATACTTAATAGATACCAGGTAAGCTAAAAGCTTCGGAAATAAGTGTTATTTTAGCTTAGATTGTAATGTACACCTTACTGTAAAAAGCCGTGAATTGGTATATTAATCCAACAAAACCACTGGCGCTACTACCTTTTAAGTTTGAACCTTAGATTTCTATATGTTTCGGGATAATTTGTTTTGTTGCCTTCTGTGCCTGACACACGCCGTCGATGATTAAGATCTAAGGCATTTCGGTTTCCTCTCGATGTTTTCCTTCACCGTACGAGCGAGTGTTATGCGCACATAGACAGAAAGTCCATTGGTGCACAGACCTCAGGAATAAGTGTCGCACGCTGAAGCAACTAGGCCAACACTGCCTGGTATAATAATAATACAATTTTATGAATACATCAATAATTATATAATTGAATTATGATGATACATTGATATAGATCGCATTAACTAATATCTTAGTTACTATTATTATTAATTATTTTTCCAACATAAGTACCATGCATTTGTTTCATTGGTAATTTTGCTATTATTAATTAACCTAAAAATTTAATAATATGTATTTATCGCGTAAACTTATAATTATAATTTTGTTTAGGAAACTGGCTCCATCCGTCCCGGGGTGATCGGCGGATCCAAGCCTAGAGTAGCAACGCCCGAAGTTGAGAATCGGATCGAAGAACTCAAGAGACAGAACCCAGGTATATTCTCCTGGGAGATTAGAGATAAACTTATAAAAGAAGGCATTTGTGATAAAAACACTGCGCCGTCAGTGAGTTCTATTTCGAGGCTCATACGAGGAGGCAAAAGGGACGATACAGATCCTAGAAGAAACCATAGTATTGATGGTATTCTAGGTAAGTCCTGGCCGTGAATATTTAAACAAATGCTTTTAATTGCCTTCATGTAATAAAATCAGCGGAGCGGAACAAATGAGGTGTTATTTGCCTGATCGTCTAGATCACTTTCTAGATAACTTAAACTTAATTGAATATGTGTAATCTGAATTGTAACATGTTATCTTTGATACATATCATGTTATTCGTGTTTTTATGGCCGTTTAAATCATCGTTAAAATTGCGCAAACACAAGAATAAAGTAGTTTTCGTAGACTTTTGTCAAAGTACCTACTTGTTTAATCTATTTAACTATTAATCGACTTGCCCTAATCTTTACACTGGACAATATCTTATAGTGAAGTAAACCACGTTCCTCTCGAATTGATACATATATAATATCTAAACGACGGCTTGAAGGGTATTGAACTATATACTATTTCACATATTAATCAGACTGTTTGAAACGTTCGCAAACTTTGTAAAATGGCGTATAAAGTTAATAAACCACGTAAAGCGACGCGCACGCCACAGCAGCGCCCCCTATGTCGGCTTCAGAAATTGCAGGTTATAAAAATGAAATTAGTACTCAAACGTATTATTATCCCATCGCGTTTGGCCCCGAGGCTTGCATTACGACAATCTGTCCGTACCGCACGTCTTACACTATACCCAATATAAAATGGCGCTTCTAATACAGCGAAAGCGCTTTTACCAGAGATTTTGCGATAAGATTATGCATATTAAGTTGTATGAGGCTAAAATCTACGTTCAGCGGGCCCTTTGTGAGGTTCGTAATTTTAGTCATTCATAAGTAACGGTTTTCAGGGCATAGCGGAAGCATTTACATAATGTTATGGAACCTTCTGTGCCTAAATATTTGCACGGGACCAAACTCATTATCCCTAATTACTAATTTATGATTAACAACACAAATTTATATTTAACAAATACTATTTTATCTGCTGATTTATTACATACATAGATAGTAACAAATTAAATGTAAAATTGATCTTCTTTATAATGTCTTATAAAGTAAAGTCGAAATAAACATACATTTTTACACAGGTCCGTCATCTTGCGAAGATTCGGACACAGAGTCAGAGCCCGGTATTACGCTAAAGAGGAAGCAGAGAAGATCCAGGACTACCTTCTCAGGGGACCAACTTGAAGCTTTAGAACGCGCTTTTACCAGAACCCAATACCCTGATGTGTACACAAGAGAGGAGTTGGCGCAGAAGACGAAGTTGACAGAAGCTAGAGTTCAGGTACAACAGAATACAATACATTACAAGTAGTCATAAATTAAGAACATCGTAATTAATAGTGTAGTTAAAGTGAAGTGTATCCAAACAAATTGTATTTAATCCCATTAGTTACGTGGTTGTGAAGTATAACAAATAGCCTTTATCATAATCATTATAATTAATTATAGGATTGTAACCGAGTCACCACATGTTGTTCACGCTACCGTTCCTTCGGTTTTTGTTAGATTAATAGCCCCGGCTGATAGCCTAACACAGAATGTAATCGAGTGTTCCCCACCTTATAATTATATTCTGTGATCGTGTTTGCCGCGCTTTGTGAATAATTTACTAAATTATGTGTTAAGGTTCTAATAGTAGAATAATTGTCATACAGGTATGGTTTTCGAACCGAAGAGCAAGACTCCGAAAACAATTGAATTCGCAACAATTGAGTGCTTTTAATACTATGTCCTTGCAGTCCGCCTTTCCTCCCGTACACCAACAATACGAAACCCCATCTTCCTTCAACGCTCAGTGTGCCTCCTGGCAGCAATCGTATTCCTCTTTGGGTACGAGTTCTGTGCTGAACTCTGCTTTAGCTCCTTCTTTGCATCAATCCACTCTCTCGGCACCTTCAGTATGTCAATCTACTTTACCGTCCTCATTGCATCCACCAACATCAAGTTCGTTTTCATCCGGTAACTTAACTCCTTTATCTCACTCCTCGGAGATTGCAACGCCACTCCAAGCTGCACCTGATGCTACTCCACCCAGTTCAAGTCCGACTACTGCTAGTTCCCCATCGGCAATCCAGAGTAGCGGTTTGACCTACCAGCACCCGACATATCAAAATGCAGGCGACATTCCTCATCCTTATGCCTACGGGGATTACGCAAAGCAGGACCACATGACGGCACACAACCACTGGACTTCGAGACAACTGAGCCACTCTCAGAACAAGTTAGCAGAAGTCAGCGCGTGGCCTGAGAATTATAGGTAAGTTTTAGTATGATTCCATAATTACTATAGATACGTTTAAAACAATTGAAAACAGTAGTTGTAAAATCGTTGCTTCGTAAAATCTAATAGCATTAAGTCCTGGAATATTTGCAGAGTTATGCAAAAGACGTTATGATAGCTTTGATTACGGTCTTCAAATTAGGAAGCATTCATTCTATTTCCTTTCACCTCCCCTTATCATTATTCGAAGCGGCCGCTAATCAATTAAGAGAGTAAGAAGTCAGCCATTATACGCCGCTTGGGCTGTTATTATAGGCCACTCTTCGTAATGCCGAAGCGATCGTGAACTCAATAGGGTTGCAAATTTCATGTACTTTTTTGATCGGTTATTAATTGATTCTCGACTTTAACATTCTGTGAGTCCAAAACGTGTTATTAAAGCACTCGTTTTATCATAATAGCTGTGGAAGTGAATTTGTCGTAAGAGCGTGAGGCATTGTCCCAGTATTCTATATGGCGACGACATTTATCTATGTTATCGAAACAAAGCACGTCAATATACCACACATTGGACCACACACAATATCTGGCACAATGAGAGACACTAACATATGAGTTACGTTATATGGTGATCGATCTTTATAACAATTTTCATAAGACATATTAAATCAGAATCCTTATCAGACTATATACATGCATGGTTTCTGGGACCAATTAGAACGTCGAGATACATTTAACATCCTATTTCGGTGTGAACACGGCAAAATACATTTTAATACTACACAACAAAATCCATAACTGCTTAAAGTCAGAATGCAACATTTATCAGTTTCTTACATTGCGGAAAAACACGAGTTGCTTTGTATCAAGCGGTCGCAATTAATGAAAGGCCGAACGTGACATTAGTACAATGAACCCTCACATTAAGAAATTCTAACCGCGTATTAAAATCTGTATGGTTATTTGTAATCTACTTCCTAAACTGCAAGGTTTGCGTGTACCTTTTATTGATCACTTTGCATCTGTGCATCGAAATATGCACATGATTGATGCATGCACTGGAACGAAAATTGCATTTCGATTACGGCTTGATTGAAATCTAACTTTCCCTTGCATACTGTTACTAATATTTATGTAATTTGTAGATAATTAGTTCTCATTTGTTCTACTTGTCTTGCACACTAATTGTACTGTTATGTAACCATCACAAAGTGTTCCAACCATCCATCCATTAGGACATTTTTGTATTTGACCATACTTTACACAGATGTATTTTTTTAAATAATAATAATTAATTTGCACGGATTTGGTACACAATTATGGTACTACATTAAAAAGGTAGAATTTTTCATAGAAGTTACATATTATATTAGATAATAAATTAAATCATTATAATCAATTCCTTTATTATTTTATCACTACATCGTCACATTATTTAAATATATGTACATTATCAAAATAATATTAATTATAATGTTTCACTCAAATAATCATTAATAGAATAATATTATTTTTCCAAAAGTAGTATATTGAGTCCATTTTTTAAAACTCTAGTTTTTGGTAAAATATTATAAACCTTGATTGCCATACAAAAGCTGGTTTTCCTGTACATCAGACTATTTTTTGGCATAACAAATTTCGCACTATGTGTACTTCTGCAGTTATCGATTCCCGTTGACTTAAAAATAGTTATATTTTTGTGAACGAATAAGGACATTTCTAGACTTTGCCATAAAATCTAATAAATATTAATGTAGGTAATATAACTACGGCATCATAGATTACTGGTAAAATTGTTACTAGGTTTGAAGTTGATTTTTATTTGTGGGTTACGAAGCTAAAATTAATTTTAATTGACTACTCGGCTCACAATTCATTTATCTCCTTCAAAACTGAGTTATACTTTTTAAATTAAGGGGTAAAGGATAAAGGCCCAGGTGGATGTAGGTTGCTGTAGGCGTATAATTGATTAATTAGTACAGTAGCAGTTGCGTGGTTTAAGTTTTGCAGCTTTTACTAATTTCTAAGTTAACCAACACCTGCCCCGTTACTCTGTAAAGCAAATTCCGTGTTCAATATCTAGATTATTCTGGTACTAACAAAGACCCTTTCGACGAAATCATACTCTTTAAATATTTTGCTATCCTAGCAACGTTGTAAGTCTACTTAAAAATTCAATACAAGAAAGTAATGTTCCAATATACAATCGCATACAAAAGTGGATTAACGCATTTTGTTTCTGTACTTATAAACTATCAGATTAAATAGGACAGCTCTATAGTTCATTAAAGATATCCGACATTTCAGCCACCTACACTACGTTCGACGTGAATGAGTGTTAATAACGTATTAGCCACTGTATTAAATTGAATTTTCGTAATACAATTTGATTTATATTTAAGACACGGTAATTATATACGTCAAACAATGTATCAACTAATCTATACGAAAGAGGAATGCTTAGCCCAATATCAAAGTTTCTTTAAGCACTTTAACGAATTGTTTTGATTATCAATAAAGTTTGGGGATTATGTTAATTGTTCAATATTCGATATATTTTGATCTGTATTAGTTATATTAATAGACAGATTATTAATATATATTGTGGTGTTACTTTATATTCACACGACTTATCTATTTATTTTATAATAAAGCGTTTTCATAAATTCAGATGTAATATTCAGATTATAATTTAATGATAAACAATATACTATAATCTTTGGTTATAACTTTTTATTGGACTTAATCGCGTTTTTTTAAACATAACCAGCGTTTTGATGAAGTATTTATAGATAATAAGGACGCTCTTTCGATCCTTTAATTATTTTCATTTTTCAATTAATTCATCTCATTTATATTTTTTCAGTCAATGTATGAATAAAATATATATGAAAATCAACAATTAACAGTGTTTTTCTTTTGTTACAGTCCATTCTTTGGAAGCAATGCATCGCATTACGTATCTCATGCTCACTCACCGACAGAGGCCAAGTCAGGATATCCATACATCGGACAACTTGGTGGTATGGATATGGGTCGGGTACATTGAAGAGCTTTGAATGTCAATTAAAACAAATATTTTTCTAAATATTCACATTTTCAAGAAATTAATCAACCAAGCATTCTATATAAGTTTCTATTATCTATGTCTTAAATTAAAATAATATACCAGTATTTACAATAGACGTTTGTATACATTTTTGACACTGACAGCTGTCAGTATAAGTGCCCTTAGTAACCATAGATGAAATTGAAGATATTTTATAATAGGAATATTAACATTTGCATATCCACTAACCTGTAACAATGTATCATAAGATTTTTTCAAATTGAAAGCACATTCGTGCGCGACTGTACCATATAGGTATTATATTTAGGCACACTATCTGTATTATTTTATAGCTTTAGTTAAAAGCGTTCCTAAGTAATGATAACTAATTTAGGGTTACAATTGTCTAAATGCCGTTTTCAAATAATAAACTCCATACAAGTAATTTTTTGGACCTCCTTGTTTTAATTTTGTTTACTTATAGATTAACTTTTAGTTTATTTCTAAACATGAGCCTTTTTTAATATTTTAAACATTCTCTCTCATGTATAAGATATTAATGGTTGCATAAGCAAACGTGAGTATAATATGAAGACGGATTTAACTGTAAGTGTTGAATATTTTTAAGTAATATCAGTATGTATGGCCTTGTATAAAATTGTGATGTAGCAGAATATATTTATTTTTAGAGAAAAATGTGCAAATTGATTTAGGTTATTAATTTTGTATAATTAACGTTTACCGAAATAAATAATATTAATAAAGTGAAGTATTTTATTACCTACCTCGAATACTGGATTTAGTTTATGCCTTTTGGTTTTTTTATTGAAAGAATTAAAATATAATTGTAATTTACTAAATCTCAAAATATGTAAATACCAAAAAGTTATGGTCATATTTTAACTACAGCTGAGTTAGGTGATTTATCCAGTGATTATTATTAGTTAATTATTATTTAGTATAATCTTAACCCTTTGTGGACACGTTAGCCCCGTCTTCTTCCTCGGAGTTCAGACAAGCGCAAAATCTAGCGCGGCAGAGAAGGCAGACTTTCCTCCAACTTTGATTTTGTTCTCAACTTAATCATAGATAGTAAAGGTGACACCAGAGCTGGCGCGTACTAAATGCTGCCAGCATAAAAGGGACTCAGCTCAACATTAAAGGAATTTTTACTTTAACTTTTAAATATATTTTTGTTTTTTTTCACCAATTTTTAATTTTTACTATAAATATTATGTAGATGAAAATTTTTAAATTAGATTAATTTATTCTTTCTCATAAAATAAAACATGCATCAGGTCGGAAACGCACTGGCGAGCCTTCTTGGTTGTGTGATTGCCCATGGGCATATCACTTAACATCGGGTATGCCTCTTGCATGCCCCCTATTCTAAAATAACATAAATTTAAATATGTTAGTCATTATACTGAGCAATCAATTACCTACTTCTTTTTCCATTCTGTGTGCTCTCGACGGAGCTGTCGTGGTTGACGCTTTGGAGTAATTATCCTCTTGAAAACCCGGCAGTGATGCGTCAAGCCTTTCTTGTCTATTTATATATATCTGTTTAAGTAGGATAACAGTATACAAGATTACAATAAACTGAAATTTAAGTTAGAAGCTATCAAAAGCACATTTTTCACCTTATGTGAATGTAGTGAAAGTAGGTTTATCAGCTTCCTGAGCCTTATAAACGCCGTCGACTTTATGTCCGACTTCCTCACCACTTGAAAGTGTTAAATGTCTGGAACTGGAGTTTAAACCTACAACCTCAGGAATAAGAGTCACTGAAGCCACTAGGCCGACACAACTCTACAAGTGCTACATTTAATTGAAAAATGTTTTACGATAGTATATTATATATTTAATTTGCTGTCCACAACTGCTGTGAAACATTTAAACAACTTATCAATATCGAAGTTCTTCAAAAACCCAAAAAAATATTCTGTAATAAGAGTTAGGAACATATTATAATAACAGCAAGTAACGATTATGAATCGTATCATATATTCCTATTTCAAAATGGCTATAGAACCTTATCTCTGAATACCGTGAAGTATCCTTGGGCGTACTACCTTTAGTCACGTGCGCATTGTTTGCACGTTACCGACGTGAAGTAATTAGGTATAACGATAACTTGCAGTGTATGTCATAAGCAGATTTTGGTTCAAATTAGCGTTTTAATTACAATCGCGATGAGGTTGACGCATTTGGAATTTTGTAAATATTCTGTTATCACCATTGATTCGCGGTGGGCGGTGCACACCCTGATCGAGCGTTAAAATGACTAAGGATTGATGATGATTATCTGCTGATGTAGGGAAGTGTTACCCTTGCTTGGTGAAGGAAAACATATCTAGTGATAAACAGTGATTATATGATTCAGCAGTGTTGGCCAAGTGGCTTCAGCGTGCGATTCTCATCCCTAAGGTCGTAGATTCGACCTCCAGCTGTGCACCAATGAAGTTTTTTCCTATGTGCGCATTTACCAGTCGTTCGAACGACGAAGGAAACCATCTTGAGGAAAGCGGCTTGCCCTAGACCCGAAAAGTCGACGGCTTGTGTCAGGAACAGAAGGCTGATCACCTACTTGCCTATTAGATTAACAAATGTTCATGAAACAGATACAGATAGAAATCTGAGGCCCAGACCGAAAAAGGTCGTAGCGCCACTGATTTATTTTATTTTTAAACACTAGCATGTGTTAAACTTTATTCAATTTATAAGGCACAGTAGGCTAATCTACTTGCCTATTAAGAAGAAATTATCGAGAAAACAAATGTAGAAATCCAAAGACATGGTTGTAGCGCATCTATTTTTTCTAAAAGAAGAGTTTACAATCGAATTAAGACGAAGATATTAAGTTTGACGTTCAATTAAGAAGATTTGTAGGTTACCTTATGTAAGTTATGTATTTTAAAACATTGCGACATGTGTTGAAATGTATGTTAATACACTGTTTTCTGCAAAATACATAACTTACATGTGCACCAATGGACTTTCTTTATATGTGCGCATTTAACATTCGCTCGAACGGTGAAGGAAAAAATTGTGCGCAAACCGACATGTCTTAGAGCCAAAAAGTCGACGGCTTGTCTCAGGTACTGGAAGCTGATCACCTACTTGCCTATTAGATTAAAAAATGATCATGAAACAGATTCAGAAATCTGAGGCCAAGACCTAAAGAGGTTGTAGTGCCACAGATTGTCACCCTGCATAGTCACATGAAGACCTTTTCAGTTAATTAGTAAGTTCTTCGGTCTTAAGTCTTAATATGAATGCGTTTAAATCCTGAAAAGCATAATTTTCACAATTATCTGTAGACACATGCGGTAATATTAAATAATTAAGAAATTATCAATAAAGCGATATCTACACAGTCAACGGACGATTTGAAATCCTTTTCTATGTAGACAAGTCCTGATGTAATCGTATTTGGTAATACCATGAATATTTAAATACCTAATGCTCAGACTTTAACCAGAGTCATACATTTCAATAACAAAGACCCAGCATGGGGTTAGATTAGACAATCAATTGCACGTTTGTGTTTCCATACATTGCTGCTCAGCAGCTATTGGGGTTTTCCCAACAGGTATTACACGATTCAAATTGAGAACATTTCAAAATTCGAACACGTATAAACAATTATAAAATAAAAATTAATTTGTTATAGAATTAGGAGTAAATTGAATTCTAATTTGACTAAATACTGATATAATATAATTCTAAAATTCAAAAATCATTTAATCGTATAGGTAACACGTTGTACACTTATGATCGTCAAAAAAAAAGAACTGTGTATGAAATGCTTCTAACTTTACATTTAGTGCCAGTTCTCAAATCATGGGCGTAGAACGGATGAGAAGAAATGGCAATAAACTCTCCGCCACTCTTTTTAATCGCCATGTTTTTTTTACACAACGTTTGTAAGGAGCTGCAACCATTACATCATTTCGTATAGTCGTATTATAATAATTTAAGAAAACCAAAGCTAGAGCTAAAGATAGCTTCTCAAAACAAACTTATTATTTATATAACATATATACATTAAAAACTGAAAATTGTACGGTGACGTCACACAGGCTCGTCACGCGTCATCGATATCTGTTGGCACATACTGATCTCCTAACGATATTTTAATCCTCACCGTATATGAAGCGTCTTATAAAAATAAAAATTCATAGCAGTACTGGTTGACTCTCTCATGGTCAATATTTTAAAAATATAGCTGTGTTACTCTGGGATTTTTTTAATAGAACTGGGGGCAAAAGGGCAAGAGGCTTATGTAATGTTAACTGATATGCCACCGCCCATGGACACTGTCAATGCCAAAGGGCTCGCGAGTGCGTTGCCGGCTTTTAATGACATTTAAAATATATATGGCCGGATAATTTAATGGGTGTACTTTCAAATCAATCTAGTAGTTTTTGAATTGCTTTTCAAAAATTGCGGTCAGCAAGAGACGAACTTTAAAGCTCTTAATAATGCTTTTTGGAAGTCAATTTTACTCTCGTCAATTAAATTGATCGTGACAAAACTTAATCTAACGACTTCATACCTAAACTTTTGAGATGACGCACTTTAAAGGCGCCTATTCTTATGCTCGATATCACAAAATCTACTTTAATATAACGATTTATAAAATATGATATCAGAAATATATAGTTTCTTATCGTTAGTAATGGTACATATGGCAGACATATTTCTGCATCTGTTTTCATAACTAAATAAAAAAGATAAATCCATTGTAATCATTTTTCATGTACATTTTTAGTTTGGATATAATGGTAGTATAAAATATCAATAATATAAGGACAAGGAATCTTTTCAGTATTTTAGATAGGCATTCCTAAACTAAGATCCTATACCTATTATTAAATAATTAATAATAAGTAGCGCTACAACCTCTTTAGGTCTTGGCCTCAGATTTCTGAATCTGTTTCATCATCATTTTTAAATCTAATAGGCAAGTAGGTGATCAGCCTCCAGTGCCTGAC